AGATCGCTGGCAGGGCCGCTGGGCGTCACCTCACGGCTCCTGGGCACGAGCACGACATCTGTCGAGGCCACTGCAGGAGACACGCTAGAGTTTCCTCTGGACCCATCTTGCGCCGTCTTCGCCCGCACTGACCTACAAAAGATTGTCATCACCAGCCTTCAAGACAAATTCCCGGAATTCGATCAAGTGAAAGACCTCTAATTTCATCCACTTACTTTTCGCCAAGTGTCACCAGCCTCTGCCGCCGCGGAGGTGACGGAGACGCATCCAAGGCCTAAGTAAACCAAGTACGACGTGAGGGAGCCATCTTCCAACTACGTAATTAATAACCCAAGAGACTTACCGACGGGGAGGACGCTTTCCGGCGACCGCCGAGCACGGAGGTGAACTTCCTCCCCTTCCTCGGGACATGGCTGCCACTGGTCGTGGCGACAGCAGCAGTAATGGCCATGTCGGACGCCTCCTGGGCGATGCCCTCCTTCAACGAGGCCGCCGCCTGGTGGTCCACGAGCGGTCCAATGACGTCGGTCAGAGGGAGAGCCTGCACCGCACGAAGTCATTGTGCGATCCAGGAGTAAAAATAAAGGGGTCATCGAATACACTCACATTGATTGCGGCTTCACGCTCGGCCGTCCCCTTCTCGCAAAGGGGGATGGGGACGTTGCTCGCCGTTGTCGAGCCGCTGATCATCAACTGGCCGACGCGACGCTATACGGTCTCGCTGTTCAAACCTGTAAGTCAGGAGGAACATGCACAAAAGGAAGTCAAATTAAACACAAGAAAAATACCCCGAAGAGAAACCCGGGTCACGTCCTTCGGCCAATAATAGTCAAAGGCTGGGTGGACTCGAGCCTGGAGCGGCTGGATCCGCCTACCAATGAAGTCGGCAGCGACTTCATACCCCGACAAACCTCTTACTCAGAGGTCATCGATGGCATCGATGAACGACTGAAGAGAAGGGGTCAAGGCGGGTTTGGCGGTCCAAGACAGAGTCTTGACTGGTTGTTCCTCAGGAACAACAAAGATTGGATCTGGATCCTTTATCTGAAGATAGAACCACCTCGCCCGCCACTTGCTACGAGAAGAAGGGCACTGGAAGGGGATGTAGTGCGACTTCAGCCCAACCCAAAGTCAGAAACCGACGCATCCAGATACCCTGGTGGATCCCATCCAACGCAACTCGTAGTAGAAGCGAAAGAGGTCGAGAAACGGCTCTACCCCAATGTAGGCCTCACAAAGATGCGAAAAGATACTGAGGAAGGCGATGGAATTGGGGTTCAAATGGAGCAAAGAAAGACCGTAGAAATTCAAAATGAGAAGGAGAAACTCAGAAGGCGGGGGGAGAAAACCACAGAGAATATAATCCTCAACCGCAACCATGCGACCTAGGACAGGTTCAGGTTCAGTACCTCCTGGTTCCCTCTCCATGGTCCCGCGACCGGGGAGAGCACCCTCCTCCTGCAACTTCTTCAGGGATGCACTAGTGGAAGTGGACTTGTCGAGGTCCATTGCCGCAGGAGATCGCCGGAGAAGGGACCGGCGATAAACAAGCTAGGGTTTGGCGGGAGCGGAGAAGACGAGGAACGCTTGGAGGCTGAAGAGCTTTTTCACAACAGGCGGACTTCAAATTGGATCCCCAAAATCCTCTTAAATAGATACATTTCTGACGGTGCGAATTCCAAGGAAAGGAGAAAGAGATGGCCGCCGGAAATTTCTGGGTCCGTTACGCGCGGCAGTTTTTCGAACTTCAATTTAAATTCACTCATGACCGTTGGGCTTCACACGGTGTTGTCGATTACTCCCTGTCACCTGGAGAATTAGTCGAACCAACTCAATTACGATCTCGCTGGTATCATCGAGTTCCATTGTTCCCCTTGTAACCTATGATTTCCATCATATAATACCATATCAACTGGATTAGGGCTATTACCTATCAAGGGGCCTGAACCAGTATAATCTGTGCTTTTTGTCTGCTTGATGTCGTATTATGTAGATCCTCGTACCAGCGTACCCCAATACCCACTATATCCGGTCTATGGGTATCCCCCGTCGACAATCTACTTCATAATTCACAACGTCAAAAATTGTACTTCATGATAAAATCAAACGGGGCCTAATTATTTATTGTAAAATTCAAAAAATAAAATTTATTTTTTTGAACAAATTTATTTTTTTTGACAAAATCCATATAAGAGTTTTAGCTAGAAATTATGAACCAAAATTATTTATTTATTGGGTTCAAAGTTTGATGAAAACAATGTACGAATTTCATAAAATTTAATTTAAAATTTATTTAAATATTTTAGATTTATTTTTATATAAGAATTGTGTTTTTATCACTAAACTAGCACATAAGTATAAGAGAGGGGTAATAAAGTCTATTTATAAAACATTCAATGGTCAACTCATGGCCAACTAACAGAATGGACATAGAGGAGATCAAAATAAAAACTCAGGGGTATATAAGGGATAAGGCAAATTTTAGGACACACAAGGGATTGAACAAATTCTCATGGGTACATAGAGGATTATCTCTTCAAGTAAGGATTCGGATCAGGTTTAGTCACTGCAACTTTGGCAGTACCAATCATCCAACCATCCGGCAAATAAGGGATGGTCTAGATTCTTGCTCAATTTTCCCCAACTTTTCACCTACCCTCTAACTCCCAACCGATGCCTTTTGGAGGGAAAATGCTGAGAGGTGGTGAGAGTTGGCGCCAATTCTACCATGGGATCAGAAGAATACTTTTGAGAATGCTCTACGACAGGTGCCCGATCAAACGAACAATTATCGGACGCTCCTCTGCTACATGCAATGGAATTCTCTCTTTCCCTTTTACTCCGCATTGCTATGTCGCCTGCTATCTTTCTTATTCCCATTCCCATACTTGAGTAGAATAATCGCAAACCATATTGCATGGCATCAAATTATAATCAAGAATTTGGGCTCACTTAACTAAAACTTATGTTTTACTAGTTACTAACAAACTGTAGCTAATACAGAATAAAAGCACCTAGTCCTCGTCGTTGGTCCACAGTCGTCGACCGCCTTCATCATCGGATCAAATCAGGGCTTGACAAACCACCTCCACAAGGGTTACTATACCTTCCTTGGTTGGGTGGTTTCACCACAAGAATTACCTTCTCCACTGCTAGAGATTCACGGACGAGGACCACCTTCTCCATGGACATTGGATCCCGCTCAAGAGAAATATAAGGAGAAGGGTGAACTAGGAGGGAAAGCTTTGAGAAGGAGACTGCAATGGGAGAGTGTCACGGATGAGTAGCAGGATTGGGCCTGCGTGCCTGTGTTGGGTGTAATTTAAGTCTTGGGCCTGCGAGCCCACAAACGATGGCTATTTAAGCAAACGCTGAGGATTGTAGGCGGCATAAAAACAGAAATAAGAAATACGCCTTCCTCCTCAACTCTGTCTTCTTCCTCCAGCTTCTCCGTTCTCTCACGTCTCTCTCTGCTTCTTCCTCAATCCCCTTCTCTAGATCGAATCGCGTGGTGCCGGAGGCGTGTGGCGGCGGTGAGTTCATATCAGAGAGTTGGATGGCTACCACTCATGCCTAGTCGCGAGGATGGACTGAATCCAGCGCTAGTCAAAGGTCTAAACTGTAACTGTGTGTAAAAAAGAGATACACAGAGTTGAAAGAAAACTTTAGGTACATTTGATCCATTGTAAAACTCTAGTCAAATTGACTTTTGTTTCAACAGACCATTAATTCAGTTTTAGATATCAACAATTAAATTAAATCACACATTTTATACTTACAGTGTTGATTGCCACAAACGTGCTTTTTTTTATTTTTCAATAAGTTGAGGGGTATAAAATGGGAAATTAAATGTCAACATTAATTTATTAGCTTAACTAAAATTAAGGGGAATATAAGAACGACTGTATAAAAAAATATTTTCTAGTTTGCCCACCTTTTGTGAATAAATTTCAGAGGACCTAGTTTCACAGTTGTTGTTAACCCAAATCTATATATGCAGCAAAATATTTATAAAACCCATGCACTCTTTGAAGAATAAATATCTGGTAATTTTGTACCTATACACATGCATTAGCCATTTTCTTTTGTAAGTATATGATTTGATGGCATATTTATTAATTAAATAAAGTGTAAAACCTTTGCATTACGGATAAAAAAGGATTTTAGGGTTTTGCGAAAATTTTGGGCTCTGTTTGGTACGGCTCCAAATTTCAACTTTCAACTCTAAACTCTAACTCCAGTAAGAGTAGGTTTCTATAGGAGCTGAGGTGGGTATGAAAGTGTTTGTCTAGATTACTAAACTCCATACTACCACGTTCCTTGTAGTTATTTCATCGAACATCTTGTTGGCGTTGCCCTACCGCTGTTGCCGTCATCGTCGTCGGTGCCGCCACCAGCGGTCAGCCCGAGCGCCGCCACCGCTGTTGCCGCAGGTCTGCCCGCAGGCCGCCTTCACAGGTCCGCCGGCACCCGCCGCCATCACTCAACCCACGCGTCACCGCCCTGCCGTTGCCGCCGTCGTCGCTTAGCCCGCACATCGCCTTGCCACCACCGCCACTGTTGGTCATACCGCGCATTGCCGGCACTAGCACCGGTGCCCATCGCTCAACCCGCACGCTGCCGTTCGCTAAAATATGAGAGAGAACAGGCGGAGAGGGGTAGATGAGGAGAGAGAACGGAGGGAGAGGTGTAAAGGGGTAGTTCAGTGGCATTTTTATGTAAATACTCCCTCCATTTCGAAATGTTTGACACCGTTGACTTTTTAGCACATAGTTGACCATTTGTCTTATTCAAAAACTTTTATGAGATATGTAAAATTATATGCCTACATAAAAATATATTTAACAATGAATCAAATGATAGGAAAATAATTAATAATTACTTAAATTTTTTGAATAAGACGAACGATCAAACATGTGATAAAAAGTCAACAGCGACAAACATTTCGAAACGGAGGGAGTACACTGAAAAGGCAGTGGCTATGGAACAGAAAAACCTAGCTCCACTCCCACTCCTGCAGTAGAATCTATACTGTTTGGTACAGCGGAAGCTGTAGGTAGGGCATCGTCCAAACTCCAAACTCCATTTGCATTTCTGGGCGGAGGAACAACCGCCGGCGATCAGGGCTAGAGAGCTCGCCGTGGACAGCCTCCTCCTAGCTCCCCTCTCCCCGCCGCACGCCGTCTCCTCCAATCTGCGGCCTGACCTCCTCGCGCGCTCGGCCGGCACGGCAAGAAAGGCTGACCTCCGTCTCCGTTCGAATCGGAGCCGAAGGTATATCCATCCCTTCTTCTCTCCCTCTTCCTCCTCGCCACTTCATGACGCACGTATGACCTGGCCTGGCCGTGTGACCTGAGTTGGAGATCAATCCGAGGGGGTTTGGATTGATTTCTTAATTTCTTCCTTTCCCTCGAATCAACCCATCCGACTAGGTGTGTTTGATTCGTCATGTTGTACTAATGTCAGTTCGTTTCCAAGATTTTGGGGTCCATGCCACACGTTAGGTAGGCCCCTGATGAACGCACGTATGCTCCCTGATTGGGGTAAAATAAAAAATTGGGGAAACCCTGGTAGATTCTCCAAAACCTCACCTTGAAATTTGTCCAAGTGTGTCCGTTGCTTGACTATCCAATCAAGCTGAAATGTTGACAGTAATCTGTAAAATCCTATTCACATTTGTAGCTACTTAGACCATCGCTTAGGCAGATTGATGGTTTTATTATGAAGTCTTGATTGATTTTGTTCATAGTGCAGCTCACACATAAAAAAAAACTCTGCACGAATTGAAGGCTGGGGCTAATTAGTACACGTTGAATATAGAAATCACCCTTCCTAAATCGGCGCGGTCTCTTTCGATTATATGAGGCTGTATTCTACAATTGTGTGTATGATCTAATGATGGCAGAGATCTAGTAATACTAGTTAAGATGATAAATTCCTGGTGTGCGGTTGAGAGCAGGGAAATGCACTAGTGGGAACAAACCAGTTCAGGTCACTAGTTTGATCGCATGATAATATAGAGTGTATGCATTCATGTAGCTTCCGTATGATAAGGTCTTGTACAAGTGCTTTTTTTTTTCGCCGGGCCTGTGAAGAGACACCAGCCGATTTCATTGGATTGGAAGGAAACAAATTACAAAGATTGTTCAGGTTATATGACAACAGTCAGGGCAGTTGGAAGGGAAGCCATTCCCCAGTAGGGGGGACAAGCTACGAGTATAAAGCAGAGAAACGTATAAGTGCATTTGCAGGAAACAGTGGACCTGCTATCTTATCTTATACTCCATCCGTCCCATAATATAATGGATTTTGAGTTTTTGCTTGTAACGTTTGACCACTCGTCTTATTCAAAATTTTTTGAAATTATTAATTATTTTATTTGTGACTTACTTTATTATCTACGGTACTTTAAGCACAACTTTTCGTTTTTTATATTTGCAAAAGAAAATTGAATAAGACGAGTGGTCAAATGTTGAAAGCGAAAATCCCTTATATTGTGGGACGGAGGGAGTAGTATAATAGCGTAAGCATTTCCAGAACGTTTGTTTGAGAAGGTCTTATACATGCGCATTTCACAATAGGAAGCAATGGAACTGCTAGCCCAGATGGTTTGTCCTCACTTGAGTTAGTTTGTAGGTGCCGGGCTCAAAACCAGCTGTGTGGGCTATTTCTAGCATTTGTGAGTAACTGCGGGTTGGGTTGCCTCGGCCACCCAGGCAAATCAAAAATCTCCAGGCCAGTTGTAACTTCTATCTGATGGACGGACTGGCCCAAGTGATGCTTTTTTTCTGTTCAAACTGCGGGGTGGTCCAAGTCTGATAGCAATATGCTGCTGCGCAAGGGTTTGAGATTTTCTTATTTCCCTTGTTTCTCCTGGACAATAGAGCACAGCTCTCTTGGTAGATCCTTTTTTAAAAAAGGAAAATCATAAGCGTCCTTTTCTACGCCTACTGTATGTCTGTATGTGGTGCATATTGGTAGATATCTTTAATACCGAAATCAGGGCTATGGATCTGGCTTTTTATTGGGCCACGTGGCTCCCTAAAAATTTGGTTACACCCCTCCAAAAATTTGCCACGTGTCAAAGCGACGGTATTCACTCTCCGAGAGATCGGGAAAACGTTCGCCTATATACGCTTGCAACGTGGGCCAGGCATCTCGCAAGGCCATGCGAGCTTGGGCCTGGCGCCGCACGGCCTTTCTCCGCAATGTACCTGCGCTGCTGCGCATGGTCCTCATGCAGCGTGAAGCTAGCACATACAGGTACAGATTACTAAGCCAGTTTAGAATAAAATAATATGTATAAAAAAAAGGAGAAAAAAATAATAGGATTTTTAGCCTTTTCATAATAATCTTTTAACAAATGCAATTTACTACAGATTACTCGGAATGAGGAAAAGTCACTTCATGTTAATATCATGTGTTTCAAGAGAATAAAATAAATAAATAGTTAAATCAAATGGAAAAAAAATAGTGACAGCAAGGATTGCGTTAGGACAATTAAAAATCTTCAGATAAGATTTACTTGAAACGAGGAAAATACCTTAATTTCTATAGAATGGAAGGAATAGAAGTGAAATTTCCATGTGAACCGAGAAGTTTATAACTACTTTCCTATTAATTCAGAGTATTTTTGTTTTTTTTTCTCCTCACATTATACTTTTTTATGTTAGGAATTCATTTATTTTAGAACATTGGTAAGTAACAACAATCATATTGCTATTTTTTTATTGCGAAACACAATAGATATAGATGTTCATATACACGTGTGTATACATACCTGTAAACGCACACATACAAACCCAATCACTACAAGCACCTCCGAAGATTGGGCCGTCAGGCATATCTTAGGAGTGATGAAGAATGGTGGGTTTCCTACCATTGAAAAAACAAATAGCCGTAAATACAAGCGTCTATGCTAAGTTTAGAACTTAACTCGTATAGGTAGAGAACCTGACCAGCTGAGCTCTACATAGTAGTATATCTGGATATATGAAATCAAAATAAGTGTCTTTACCATGTCATCGTCCTTTATTTCTAAATGAAATTAGTATAAAATTTAGGTAATCGAAGACACGTTTATTTCGGATATGTATTTCCTACTAATACGAACTCAATGGCTTACATCTATATGTTGGATATTAATAAAACATATATTTTTACTAATGTTCAGCATGACAATACCACTAATCTAGATGATTTTACTATTCTACCTTATTTTGTTCACAAACATAAAAATAAAAGGGAATGGACTTTCAACAATCCTTTTCGATGTATGATTTCTGAAGGGAAATACACACATGCTATAAACTAACTTAGCTAGCGTGACAACTGGCACGCTCATTTTCTAGTTACATTCTTAAAAATGTGTACTAGCATAGAATTAAGGATACCATTAAATTGAACTTTAATTAAGTGCATATGCCTAAAATTGTTGGATCACGGTTTTACATGATGGGTTACAAGACCGAGGCTTATTATATCCTATCATTTCCAGCATGTACTTGCATTATCCATTTTTTCTTTACCATTTAATTTTTTGCTCCTTAGTGTTTATATGCTGAATTGTTGGTGCAAACATGAGAAAATTTGGTTTATATGTCCTTGAAAATATCTGCAAAATTTTATATTCTTTGTATCAGCACAGTAAGTATGCATATTTATGCCCTTGATAGCATAAGACACAACATTCCTAGCTTTGTGCAGTAATCTCTTAAGCATTTGTGGATGTTATTCTGATTCAAAGATTGACACAACCACATAGGCTGACATCTTGTATATTGGGACCTTTGGCAGGCAATCGGCCATGGTTTTCCTTAAGGTGGATATGTCTTGGAATGTGTTGATCTCACCTAGCGAGCTGAGCCCCAAGGGTCTCTTGCTCCGCAAGGCTGTCATTGTTAGTCTTCTGGAGGAGATAGCAAACAGGAAGGCCTCCAAGGATCATGGTTACTACATTGCTGTCAGTGAGCTGAAGGCGATATCAGAAGGGAAAGTGCGCGAGCTGACCGGAGATGTTCTTTTCCCAGTGACATTCACCTGCATCACACAGAAGCCTACGAAGGGCGAGATCTTAGTTGGCTCTGTGGATAAGATCCTCAAGCATGGCGTGTTCCTCAAATCTGGACCAATAGAAAGCATCTTCCTGTCAGAGAAGACACTGAGCGACTACAAGTACATCGGTGGGGAGAACCCTATGTTCATGAATGACCACTCGAAGCTGGAGAAGGACACCGCTGTGCGCTTCAAGGTGATGGGTTTCCGCTGGATGGAAGCTGATCGCCAGTTCCAGATCCTTGCTACCCTGGCTGGTGACTATCTTGGGCCACTATGAACTGCTTCCACAGGTTAGTGGTGATGAATGGATCTGAAATGTATTATCTTTAACCTGCTGTCTGTAGTTTGATGTCATGATGATGATGATTAGACCAGTAGCTGTGATGCTGGCTGTTGATGTAAGTGACATTTGGCCCTATGTTTAGCATTTCAGCATGATGCGAATTGTCATGGCCGTTTAACCTCTGTTTCCTATCGCTGCTCACAGTTCTCCTATGCATATATTTGCTGCATTCCTTTCTGAGATATTTGCCTTTGCAACGTCGAATTTGCAATATTTCTCTATGCAATTGTTTCCTTGTGTTACAATCAGCTTAATATGCAAGTAACATCAAAATACCCCAGATGTTACCCTGACAAGCAAATCATTTTTGCCACAAATTAGTCTATGACAGCTAGTAGTAGTTGGCACTTGGCAAATCGTGTTGTCTGCTTCAGTTTGCTCTTTGCTACACACTTTTTGCCGAGAGAAGTAGAAAGCTTTTAAATTTTACAAAGAAATTTCTTTTTTTCCTATGTTAATTCAAATTGAGTCAATCATATGGTGATTCGTGAACGACCATCTAGCTTCAGGAGAAATTAACGATCTGCAACCGGGTTTCAGAGGAAGTTTCTCTGCAAAATGCATCTCTGATTTACAGTGGAGCTCGAGAAATGAAATAGATTTAAGTCTGAATTCCAATTAATCTATCCATAGTTGGACGCAGGGCTAGTCACTGATTTTGGCAAGTGGCAACTGATTAATCCGGCCCCTAAATGGCACAGTGAATTGATGTTTTTTATACCGAAGGGCAACAATTTGTTTAGATGTACAATAAAATTATTTACGACTTGTTAATAATGTGAGGCAATAATAAAGCATTCACTGTCCGTAGCCAACAATATAGGAGATGGACTTCAATTGTGCAATATAATTTTGAAGAATAAATGAAAGAAAAAACTGTTTTTCTTTTCTGAAAGTTGACCAAAAGTCATCATTCCAAGTCGTTGCCGTGTCGTGTCTGATACATCATTTTTGTTTTCTCTATCTATCATAATCATCATCAATCCATGTGTATCTTTAGCATGACTGAACAAAGTTCGCCATTAACAACCTGACTTGCCTAGAGCCATAGCAGCCTGTGCATGTTCATCCCATACGGTAACACCATTAGCTATGTTTTCTTGTGCTTTGTACTACTGCTTTTATGCCTTTATCATCCTCCTTTCTACCTCCCATGCCGAAGAATTCATCTACAATGGATTCACTGATGCTGATCAGCTAACACTCGAAGGTGAAGCTTCAATTGACAGGAATCGCTTAGGGCTAACAAGTCGCCTTAACATAGGAGGTTTTGGCCATGCCTTCTACAAGTATCCTCTAAACTTTAGAAAGAACTCAAATAGTCCCAATGACCCCTCCTTTGCTACAACATTCGTGTTCACTATTACTACTTGGAGAGATCAGCCTCAAGAAGCAGGAAGTGATGGTATTGCCTTTGTGCTTTCTTCCACCAACAAGTTGATAAACCACTCCTTGGGAGGTCAGTACCTAGGCCTTTTCAATGCGTCGAATACTTCACAAAATATATTAGCTATCGAGCTTGATACCTTCATGAATCCTGATTTGAACGACATGGATGATAACCATGTTGGAATAGATGTCAACAGCTTGATTTCAATCAACTCCCATACCGCTGGGTTCTACACCTCTGATGGTGGATTCCAACTCCTTAGGCTTGCCAATGGTAGATCTCCAATATTGCAGCTATGGGTGGACTATGATGGCAAAGCTCACCAACTAAATGTCACCTTAGGTCTTCCCTATTCCCCTAAACCTGAATATCCGCTACTTTCGAGCATCGTCAATCTCTCATCCTTGTTACCAAGTTCTTCGTACATTGGGTTTTCCGCGTCGGTAAATTCACCGAAAACTAGACATTTTATTCTAGGTTGGAGCTTCAAGGAAAATGGGAGAGTCCCACCCCTTCCTTCAGTCCCAGTCACAGACCCAGAAACATATGGATGGGGAGGCAACTTCTTTGCGCCACCACCACCTCCACAGCTTAACACACACCAAGTTCACAAACACTCCTTGCAAATTCTCCTACCAATAGTTATGACTTCAGTTATCTTGCTTCTTCTTGTTGCTTTCCTTGGTTGGCGGAAAAAAGCTGGGCCACAAGAAGACTGGGAAATGAAGTGCAGGCCACCATCTTTCATATACAAAGATTTATATAATGCAACTTCTGGGTTCAGTGACAAAATGCTCCTTGGGAAGGGAGGGTTTGGGAAAGTTTACAGAGGATTTCTTCCTGCCTCTAAGCGGAATGTCGCGATCAAGCGCATCTCCCCAGAGTCGAAGCAAGGGATGAAGGAGTTTATGTCTGAAGTTGCAATACTAGGCAATGTTCGTCACCGGAGTCTTTCAGTTACTTGGCTATCGCAGGAACAAGCACGAGCTCCTCTTGGTTTATGATTATATGCCCAATGGCAGCCTTGATAAATATTTGTATGGTCGACACAAATTGGCTTTAGGTTGGTCTCAAAGATTTCGCACCATCAAAGGTGTCGCGTGTGGACTCGCTTACCTCCATGAGGAATGGGAGCGTGTGATCATCCATCGAGATATCAAGTCAAGCAACGTATTGCTTGACGAGGAAATGAATGGAAGGTTGGGTGATTTTGGCCTTGCAAGATTACATGATCACAGAGTTGATGCCTACACCACACATGTAGCAGGCACATATGGTTACATTGCTCCAGAGCTAGCTAGGCTTGGAAAATCAACCAAGGGTACCGATGTTTTCGCATTTGGGGTGTTCATGATGGAGGCTGCACGTGGAAATAGGCCAATTGAGGTGAATTCCTGTGGAGAACCTCAAGCGCTAGCAGATCATGTGCTCAATGCGTGGCAACGCAGTTCAATCATAAACTCCATAGATCCAAGTCTGGAAGATCACGTTGCAGAGGAGGTAGTATTAGTTTTAAAGCTTGGGCTTCTATGTTCACATTCATCGCCCAAGGTGAGGCCTAGCATGCGCTTAGTGATGCAATACCTGGAAAGGGAAGCAACGCTCCAGGACTTCGCATTTAGTTTCTTCAGCATCAATGAAGCTAATAATGAAGTTTATGGTCAGCATGTTGTATCAAATCCCTCTGTAGCAACCACCATAACCACTCTTTCTGGAGGAAGATGACGGTTGTTGCAGCATGTATTTTCTATATGATCATATACAATTTTACATCATTGTGTCGACTGTAATACAATGTTGAAAAAATACTAATAATTGTTAATCCGTGCTCCTGTTCCTTGTGAAATACACCAAAGAGCTGTTCAAATTGTTTTCGCTAGCACATTACGAAACAATTGTAGACTTTGTTCACAAACCAGAAGGAGAAATCTATATCGTGATGCAGGAATAATCCGATTGTTAATCAATTTTACAAAAATCCTCGTACTATCCAATTAACAAAACGAGATTAATCACATCATGGAATAATCTATCACGCAATAGATTAATTTTGTTCCATTGGAAATCTGCAGCTCAATGTAGATTTATTGAAGTCGTTACATTTGTGTTCATCGCTGGCTAACACAACAACAGGTAAGATGATGTCCATACATTTTATTTTCCTAATCATCTAACTTGTACATACATTCTTTTACACTACAACATAGGCTCCCGATATGAGTCACTACACTTGCCCTATGGAATCCTTCTAATTAACTAGTGTGGTGGATGTCACAACTACTGTAAATCAAGGAATGATTTTGCTACAACAAACAGCTGATCATCAGATTGGGGAACCCAGATTCCTTGATCTGATCCCAACAGATAAATGGCATGTCCTAACTCCTAATGCTATTCACTATTCACGAGAAAGGGTGGCAACAAGAAGAGGAGCAGCTTTTGTAGCAGAGCATTAATGTAGATGGTGAATTTCAATCAAACCAACGAGGGAAGGAACTCAAATTTGTGCCTTCTGACAAGGGTGTTTGACTAGGCAAACCCTCTTAAGTCATGGGAGAATGCAAAGTTGGGCGGCAGCAACATAAGGGGATCGTCTCCAGACTTCTTCAGGTAGGCCATCGCCAGGGCGTATCCAAGTGCTCGTCCAACAGGTACGGCCACCGCATTTCCAATCTGGCGATACCTGCAGCCAGGCTCATCACGTGTTAACCTGTGCTAAAGAAGGCTCAAAAACTACCAGTAGCTATACATATTATCACTCCTCTTTGGGCAAGAGGACCGTGATCTGCACGTGGACATACTGTCAACCTTGGCCACCTGATCCAAGTTCTAATTATAGGGTCGACTACTCAGGGTATCTGAATGCATTGACTGCTAGAAAAGAAAAGGCGCATCCAACCTTGGCCCCCAGGAATGGACCCCAACCCTGAACTACAAACCCTGAACTACTAATCATGTGAGGCCACTGAACCATGGATTTTAGCTGAAGCGGTGCAGGTGTTCCACTGGTTTTGACATGTGTCGTGAATTAAATTTTGGCTAACATAGCACCCCAATTGGAAGAATTAGCAAAGTTATAGCCCTCACCCATCAGTCCGTATCTTCTACTTCTAGCATCCTCGACTACATGCAACTCCTCTCTGCACGCAACCACCCATCGATCTCTCTGAAAGCCCTAATTGATAAGCTCATCCTTTTTCACCATGCACATGATGACCAACAGTAACAGAATCTTAATGATGACAGCAGTAGTGAGCTCACTACTGTTGGCCACGCAACAAATGTTGCTGGCGGAGTGGCGATAGTGGACCTTGAGGATGGTGACAATGGAAATGGTAGGCTTCAGGGATGACAGCAGCAGCGGAGGACCTTGGTGAGGGAGGTTCTTCAGGAAGAGGGCAGGAGAAAGGAAAGTAAACAAGGGCTGCTTTGGCCACTGACGTGGACTCCAAATCAAACAACTAAACTATCCATGTATATGCCACCTCAGCTAATTCCAGCTTCAAATAGCATTGAGTGGGTAAGTTACTTGATATTGAAAGTTATCAATGGTCATCCTGTCTTGCAGTACAGGGTCTTTAGTCGAGGGATCAAAAGTACCCAAATGATATTATTTAAGAAAACCTCATACGTGCACTAACAATAAATCGCAGAATTCAATAGTTTAGATATGCCAATTCATAGAGCAACATGGAAAAAATTGAGCCCTTCATCACTCAAAATAAAAAAGGTAAAGACAAACAAGTACCTGTCTTTGACTGTTCCACGAAACCTGTAATTGTCAGGAAAGCCTTGCAACCGAGCACTTTCACGAATAGTAAGCAGTCTGTCTTGTGCAGGATGTATCAAGGCCTGAAACATACCCTCAGTAATTATTTTGAATCACAACCAAAGTGGATAAAAGAAATGAGAGAATCAAAGATAACCTGCATACGGGCATTTGGAACTGTCAGCACGGTTCCCACTACCTCATCCCACCATACTCGACCAAAAGGTCTAAAAATAAATTATAGAACGAACATATAAAGCATAAAGAAGAACAAATATGTCTACGAACAACACAACTAGATAAACTGAAGTTTGGAACCAACCTTAAAGATTTACCATTCTCATAAGCTAGTATGCAATCAAGCACCTGACATGAAAAACAAGAACCCATAGCATGGTAAGCTAATCAAAATTTGCACAAACAGAGGTATAGTTCCACATAGGGGAGTTTTGTGGTTTCTTGTTAAATGTCTTACCAGAGGACGACCAGATGGCAAAAGTACTCTTTCTTTCGTTGGATCTAATCTAGCCACATTGTCAGGACCAACTATGACTCCTGAAAGGTCTCTAAAATTAGCTCCCTGAAATAAGACAGATGAGACTATAAGGTTTAACCTACCAAACTTAAATCTGAATGTAAAAAGCATTTCAGCCAACCTTTCTCTTGGGAATTTGCAATATCCTTTGGTAGTTATCATTATCCAGTACCAATGGTCGATGATCATACAATTTTGAGGATTTGGAATCTTTTGTAACATGAGCTCTGGGACCATGCACTTCTGCATAAAATTTCATTCGTGAGTTTCTGATATAGCTACAAGAAACATAAATATAATTGGTCAACAAAAGGTGTATTAGTTAATTCTTGGAAAAAAAATGGAACACCATATAGAGAAAATTAACACCTAAAATGTTAAATTATTACACCCATCATATGCTGTTTTTCAATATTTCGCCAATTGAATGGATAATTCCTTGTTCCATATTTTACAATAATTGCTATTAAACAGACTTATAAATGATCATGGGAAAATAAACTGAACTCTGCAACTTAGTTTCTTTCTTTCTCTTTGCTAAGAAAACTAATCTAGTTATTATTATCTGCCCCCATGATTTGGACATTTTAATATTCGGTTGTGTATGGGAATACATATTCCTTGTTACAAAAACCTAAATCTAATATACAAGATCATGGAAGAATATCCAAGTTTATTTTACAGAAGTGTATGCGATCAACTCACCAACATTAAATGACCGAATGTATCTTTGGAATTCAGTTTGAGGACCCTTTACATACAGCATTTCATCACGGCTTTCCCCATTTGCCACCTAATAATTCAACTTAAGTATCAAAATGCCATTCAAATTAGATATTTCAAAGATATAATGTTGTCAGTTACTTCTGGGAGATCAGAAAGAATGTCTTCAAGGACAATTGGTCTTGCTAGTTGCATTGGTGTGTCATTGGGCCAACCAACCAAATTACGCTACAACGAGAAAGAGGAAAGTGTCATTATTACTCTGAATGCCAATGAATTCTCATTATAACATAAAACCGAAGACATCATAGTTGGCATCAAAAATGGAAATTCCATAAGATTTATTATATAAAACATGCTGATGACAACCAAAAAATGGTACGTGGGATTATAAAAAAATGCAGCAACAGTGCCAGAGGAAGTGCCACACGAAGGAGATCGATACTCTACGTCACATCTAGGAAGGGCACTCCAGTTGAGTTGTTAGGAGATAAACTTGTTATCATCTTAGATTTATCCTTGGGGCCAAGATTGTGTTGTTTACTTGAGAGTTTAGTTGTGATTGTTAAGTGCTGACAGAAACTATATGAGGGGCATAAAGCTAAAGGGTTAAACAAAGATGGATAAACAAGGCTCATAGTTTATGTCCAGATAGAGTCTTTCCCTTGAATGGCTACTCTATAACTATGCCTCCTAATAAGTGCTCCCCTTAAGGACCTTGACCTAGTGACGTTCTCTCTCAAGCCATTTCAATCTGACAGACTCTGACCTCACTTGAACAGTGGTGTGCCTCAATCGTGTTACATACAAAACATAAACTGGAATGTCTCCAACTCTCCATACAATTAGATGTCTAAACTTAAAATAAACTTATCAGGTCAAAGTATATTTACCTCAAAAGCCAACGGGCAGCCATTCTTCACAATCGCCTCATGCGTAGGCAGTGGAAAAGGGGGTAATTTCTATAGTGTGAAAAATAGTATAATGAGGGGCCAAGAACGCAAATATGCCTATACAAGATAATGATTACTTACCTCCTTAGAATGACAGCCTAATAAAAATACACGCATCCGAAATTGTGGAAGGCCATAACATCCAGCAGCCATGATCCCTAGCCTTGCTTGATAATGCATTGCAACTAGCCGACTTAAAGCATATCTTGCAAGTGTTGCATCAGCAAATTTCAATATATCAAGGACGTTTTCCATGTACACATATTTGGGCTTCAAAAATTGCACAACATCCATAAAAACTATGATCTGCTTGTTTTTCTCACATTTAAATGGTGCCTCGAATTCTCTATTGCGGTTGTAGCCACTAATTCCTTGGCATGGTGGACCCCCACATACAACGTCCACATCACCCTGAACACATGATAAACATGACATGGAAATGAATATCAAAGAGTCCAACTGTAGCAAGTATATGTAAAATTAAAATAATTACTCTTATTTCCTAAAATAATTCTTAGTAGTTGTCGATATGAGATAAAGTATATTTGTCAAAGACTGAATTGATACGCTGGTATTACCGGTTGGCACCTATACCATAGTAATCAAAATGTTAAGTACATGTACCCTTGAAAAAAGCTACATTATATTGATTTAATTTGTTTTCATGAATGCTAACTGTGTATGGAAGCATTTTCCTTCCCATTTATTTGTTTTTCTGTGTGGACACATAACATTTACATGTCTTAGTCTAATATATGATGATCCAAGAAATTAACAAATACAGGTAACAGAAATATGTGCTTCACCAATAAGCTGAGGGTTGTTCGTATCTCGGGTATATGGGTTAATCTAGTATTGGAGCCAAATTCAGGTTCATTGTGTTTGAGTGGATTAACTGATATGTACTCTATATGGTCAAAACCAATGTTTCTGACATCAAAACCACCCTAAAACATAATTTAACCAACGATTTATATGCTACCTAAAAAAAATTTGAGTTTATCTCATATAGGAAATTTATTTTTATACAAGAGGTCTATTTGAGGATGTCTTTGTCCATATTTCACAAATATAAACATGACCTATCTTAATACTTCCCCATTAACATTTTAATTTTAGAATAATTTAGGTCGTTGATAAATATAATATGTAATCTAATCATTAATGCAATGCATATTGTTTTATGGAACAACCAGTCCTGCAGCAATTCGCGTAACAACTCCTAGTAACTTAAAAACTGCTACTCAACCTGAAAGAAATTAATGAAACCAACATAAAATCTGCCATGATGCCATCCAAAGACCACTTGGAATCTACATTTGTGGCTTTGCCATCGATACTTTTTGTCCTTTTTCTCTATTTAGTTAGTCAAGAGACCAATTTAACCTTCTACTAAAATTAATTCCTAATCCTTCTCAGCCATGAGCTAGTTAGCACGTGTATCAAAAACTAAAACAAAGTGCAAGGCGGTTTTAGTCCGTATTGACAAACACGCATAGAAAATGGTGGATTGTCAACATATGTTGGTGTGAAGAAACCAAAACTGGTGCTTGCGTAGCCTTGGCTTGGTTGAATGAAAAAACTTTTCATGCAACTGGACCGCTTTCAACCGTTCGAACCAGGTGGTTTTGTGGTGAACCAGAATTAAATCAACTGGTTGGACCAGCTGTGGTGTAGAAAACAACTGAACCACTTTCAACCGTTTGAACCAGGTGGTTTTGTGGTGAACCAGAATTAAACCAAGACTGGCTGGACCAGCTGGTGTAGAAGAGTCAAGTTATTGCCTCAAAGGCTCGCTACACCATTTTTAACCCAAAAATGCCTCAAAATCGTTGGTGGAGGTTTGATCCCAGACTGGCAAGCTACACCATTCCAAGTGGTTTTTGTGTTGAAAGTGGAATATAGAATATATCGTCTTTGACTGAACGACGGGCCAAACATCCAATCGGACGGTCAGACAACTTGACCATGGAACCGAAAGCTCAGCCGGTTGGCTCACCAGAGGGAACTTCGATGGTCGAAGCAAGAACACAGCTATGTTTCTTCGCTAAAGGAAATTAATAATCAAACACAGAGTAGACTTCTCAATGTTAATGGAAACTAAAAATTGGAAAAGGAAATCCATATAAGCCCCATCAAATGCAAGTGCACTTCTCAAATTCTGACTACACAAAGGTTTAATCTACCACAACTATTAAGACAGTAAAGAAATAACAAACACTTACAGGGCGTGGTAGTATTCTTTGCCTGTGGCCTTCAATAACAAAATCCCTAATTGCCTCTTTGCAGTTCCTGCACTTTAAAAGTCAAACTGTTCAAACTTTGGTGGAGGCAAGTTATTTGGGAATGCAGTCTTCACATATTTTGCATACCTTAATCCTTCAACTGGCTCCCATGTGTCATGATGAGGGCCATAACCCTTCCAACGGACCTACATGCATGATAAATCAACCCATTAACTTAGCATAAAACAGTAAAAACAATGAACACGAACAAAGAAAAGGGCAGTGCAACCATGGATTGACCATTTGTAATTTTTTTTCTTTTCTTTTGTACATAAACCTTGAAATTAATATCTACCATGGGGGCTTCCTCCACTGTGCTTTCTTCAAAAAAAGAAATGGGCAGTGCATGATCTATGGAAATAAATAGATAATTACATGATATGCAAATAATATAACATCAAATGATCAAAAAGAGCTTGTACCAAGGTTAAGGCAAGAAAATGAACTTATTTAATAACATGAATGCACAATCCGAAATTCTCCATACTTAATATCAATAAGATTTAGCCTACAATTACATGAATGATAGATAGAATCAAAGACATTCATCATTTCAACGAGGGCTGAGACTCAAAGTTGAATCCTTATCTTATAATCACTCCTACACAATTAAGATGCCATTAACATAGGGATTCTTTATTACTACGTCCTGCAGTGTTAACTGTTAATGAAGAGTAGTACTTTTTGTTTAACTCTTAGCAATTCTATAGACATTATGCTGGACTATGGAGTTATATTATTTCTTTGGTTGCTATGGCATCGATCAATGGTCAAAGTATTTTACTACATTACACAGTTGTTATTAATGGATAACATATGTTCCTGGTCACCCGAATATTTATTCAAATGTCCATTTGTATTTCAGCAGTCTAAACACCTTGGCATTCCTAGATGTAAAAACATATTTCACTACAAAAGCCATATCACTCTTGTGTTCAGCTCCTTTATAATAGAAACTACATGTTTTTTAGATAATGGAAACTACATGTTACTCATTAAAAATGTTTGTTCACATGCACACTGACTAGTTATTTGAATCGCTGAGTTCAAATTATTAAATCGAAGGGTAAATAGATAAATTTATGTTGCTGATAATTCTGAAAAGGAATCAAGTTGCTGATCTGGTAGCTATAACACTGGAACTTCTATTTACAAACCTTAAAATACAAGCCGTGTTTGCTGACTTTATTTGGATCACCAAAGCAAATGTCAACTAGCTTCCATACTTCAAACTCCTCAGGTGGGACGGTAGAACAATCTGGAGTTTCATTATTGGATTCTGTTGTACTGTCAACACATGCCTTAGTCCTACTATGTTTCACATATGTTTTGCATAATTTCTCCCATTCTTTTAACAGTTCAAGGAAATCATCCGTGGTTTCATTCCGAACCTACCAAAGCAACATTCCAATATTTGCAAATGGGTAAGAAATAACAATAGTAAAATCGTACTGGGGGGGAAAAAACTAGTACCCGTGTTTCTGGATGATTGTTCCTGAAGCTTTCACATGCAATTTCATCATCATCAATGGCCCATCTCTATAAGTATCATGGAAAACATTTAAAAATATGAAGCCACTAAGTTATAGCACATCTATGATTGTTTGTGTAAGACAAGTACCGCTGAAAGATTCACACCACCACCACGAGCACCAAGGCATAGTCCAGTTGACATTCCTCCACAACCACAATACAGGTCTAGCAAAGAGAGCTCCATCTTCTCTAGCACAGGAGACTTGTGCTTCTTATTGACATCTATCTTCTTCATTTTGTCATTGATTCTACTAGTGTAACATGACTGCATTAAATCATCTGTGTCTTCTGCTTTTCAAGAAATTTAATCAGAATAATAGGCACCTAAAAGAAATTATTACAGATGAAAGAACAGAAACCATGCAAAATGTAATTTACAAGACAGTACATTACAGAAAACTATGATCAATAAAAAAAAATGCTAATTCAAACAACTGCAAGATGTAGATATCAGCTTACAAACAGACATGATTGGCTCTGTGAAGCATTCGTTGTTGAGAATACTAACCCATTTCTATGGTAGAGAATGTACTATAGTCGATAGAGTATTTCATGTCATAGTAATAGTCGGACGAAGGAACTGACTTTGATTTTCCATCTACCTGTAAATAAAATCAGAATCATACGTCTCAATGGAAAATGTTTCAGTAGAACACAGCCATCACAAGACAATATCAAAACTGCAACATCAAGCCTTACACTAGGAGGAACTTGCACGATTGTCACTTTCGAGACAATGCAGTCCAGTAAATTGTCATCTGTCAGGTCTGAGTAAAAGAGCCTCCTCGGGTCATGTGATTGTGCTTGCTCTCCTATGACCTGAGATCAGTTTAGAGGTTTAAACCTTAAAGCATTAAGGAAAAGTAACATAAACTTGTCTGTCCGCTTCTATTTTTACAAGCTGAGAAATGATGTTATGGTTACAGTACTCCAGGTTTGATGCATAGGCAATATAAAACTTGTCAAAACAAGCATAATGTTTTAGTCAACCAGAACTAACCGTGTCTTCAGCTGTGAAAAACCATTGCACTCTGAAGTAACATTCACCAGTTTTTGTTTCGAAGAACTCTAGCAACCTGCCAATATAATTTGGTTTTCCCTCTGGACCCTGCAAAAGTTAAATCTATTAAACTTGTGCAACAAAAATATTTTTTGATAGCAAGATAAACATTACTTCAATATAAGAAAGCAGTAAACTCACAAAAAACATACCCTGAAATCAAGCATCTGTAGATAAACATACATAAAGACTACACAAAAAGATACGGTAACTAGTCTGCACAATTGTACAGAAGGACAAAATGAACATAAGAATCATTTAAGTTATTTTTCCTCAGGGAAGTCAATTTTATACAATTGAATTGAAATGCAATGTGTCACTGATGTATCATATCTGAATCAAGGACCTAAATATAGGCCTCACAACGAGTGTTGTATTGCGGATATGGATGAAACTCAGTGACAGAGGGTGGATTTATCCTTTTTGTGAACTAGTCTGTCACGTTGGTCAGTTAAAAGAATATCAACCAATGAAGACGCAAGTCCATAAAAGCTACAGAAACGAAAAATAAACATATATATCTCAACTTGCCTTTACAAATGCGCATTCTCCAATGCAAAATGTGTATCTGGAGACTTTGGCTTGTAGATAATGACATTTGACATCCAAGACAGCTTTGCCAGCACTGTAATATAAGGTAGTGCATATAGCTGTTACCATGAATAGCTTCAATTATTTATCTGATATAAATATTGAAAATAAAATAGTGCATTTGGGCTCACTTGGCAAATGTTTGGCTGCTGGTCCTCTTATCCTTCAAGAAAACAAGCAAAAAAAATGTTACTCACTTAAATTTAATTGTTATAGGCAGCATACGGGCAGACTATATAATACCATTAGCAAATTAAATGTAAACCCAGGTGTAGAATAGCAATTCAGCACCTCGCAGTAGTGCCACAAGGAGACATCCAGTAACAAAACCAGTCGTACAGTCAGTAAATAGTAACATCAGAAGGGGAGTGCAGTAACACACCACTGGAAACTCATTAATGAGTGCACTATGTTTGAAACGGCACACCCTTCATGCTGTTACTCCACGAGGAGAATAACTATTCTACACCTGGACGCAAAATAGAGTCTAAGTGTACAATAGTGTTGTCCATAAATTCTTTATATACAAATATCCAAAATAACAAACTTCAGATGAAACCCTATAAGCTGACAAAAAATGTACAAGCATGTTTATGTTCATGTACAACTATGAGTATGGCTCCACATGTCGAAGATTTTTGAGATTCACTTAGCCACATCTATGTGGGGAAACTTCTTGCAAGATATCGGTGTAATATAATAGATAAAAGAAAAAGAGGCAACAGCTTTTTCACACAACTTCTGTATTTATGCGTTATTTTATCCTTTTACACCAAAATTTACTGCCATTCAATCTTCAAATTAAACCTTTCATCTAACCAAGTTGAGTATCCTATCCAGATTCTAGATATTCCTTATCTTCTCTTATTTATATGTTCATATTTTAATCACGGCCAAATTTGCTCCTGGCAGCTAATCAAGGCAATCATTTGTTGGTTCACACTGCAAAAGTCAATCTTTGCAGAACACTGCTATTTCATGACCATTTGACAGAGGTTACTGCAGCTGATATAGCACCACTTCTTGTCACGAGAGAGAATGAGGTGAAATGACAAATTTCCCCTTCAACCATATTGCACAAATATTGGCTGAACCTTAAGGTGCTACAACTTGCAAGGTGGGTGAGATTAGGCACTCATCTTGCAAAATGCTCAAAAAGTCACACAACTTGAGTCTAACGCATGCCACACAGAGTGATTGCGTAAAATTGGACACAAGATTGGTTGCCTGAAGCACAAAGCAATCGAAAATGGACAAATTGAACACACCATTGCTGTTGGGCTCCCGGCAGCCTATACTAGGACATCAAGTTTATCTAGAGAATGTAACTGTACCATATGCTGCCATATGTTGCTCTTAGGCCGACTTGGGCATGCTCGGATCTCATCAATGATCAAACTTTCACTTTCCGCTCATGTCATGAGCATAGGAAAACCTTTCCAGTACAGGCTAGATTCCCAGGTGAAGCCTGCTATCAAATAGCTATGAAGGCCAGGCGTAGGCTTGTTGGGGATCGAAACATACCCAGTGTCCATGTCAGCGCCCACATGGCATGAGTTGGACTTCATTTGGTTAGCATTTGGCAAGATGACTAATACGATCACTGTATTTTATTCTTAATATAAAACATTGAAAATCAGAATTTTCAAATTTGAACTTAAGAAACACTTTTACAGGATATTGACTTATCCGCATTCAAGTTTTCTGAGCTTGAATTTAAATAATTCAAATTTCAGAATTTTTATTCTATTAAATTTTGGATCACATTTACTATTCAAATAGTATAATTATTTATATTTTAAAAATCATAATTTTTGGCTAAAAATCAGAAATTAGATAGTTTAGAAATTTATATTGCCTAAAATTCAAGTTTTGCATTCTTTCTTTGAAATTTCATATTTTTAATATCCTTCTTAGCCTTGTCAGCGTCAAAGCTTTTGATGTTAAAAGGGATCATCTATGGACATTACACTCTCCAACAATGGAATGATGTTTCCACTGGCACCAAGGTCCTCTGGGTTCTAGGTAATGATCACACAATAACAGTGTCCTATGGCAAAGATCAAAGATGGTGATGTAAACAAATAAATGATTGACTAGATTAGCTTCTGTGGGCAAGTGTTACCTAAAATCAATTTTCATTTATTTGAACCGTTGTTCAAACTATGGGTAAGAAAATAGATTGACTACATAGGAGATGCAGCCTTCCAAACCTAAAACCAATGCACGAGTTATAATTTTTTTCTTGTTATTCTTTCTGTTTCCAACTGATGCATAGCTTCTCATTCCCATAACATACATTGGATGTCAGAGCTTGAATATCATCTAAAAGGTTGAAACCATAAGACACACTGGAACATATATAGGTTGATATTGATCGATGGAAACAAGTTTATTAATATAGTCATATACTTGTATTTATATCCACCATACAATTTTTATGTTCTAACATGTACTATAGTAAAATGAATGTGCAAACAATTACATGTTTACCCATTTCACATCTATGCTTTCTGACACTTCCTTCCATGCTTGAACATTATTGTTAGGAATACAAACTACTCCCTGAATTGTATCTGCACGAATCAGCAGTTCTCACTATTGTATTGCATGTACTTCCGTGACAAAGACATGAATAGATATTTCAAAGAGAACTCCTACTCCTAGGGAAATATGAAGATGATCTACTTGTATATCTATTTAACTAATCTGCAATAGTCCACATCTTATTGTTATATTGCTACAGAAATATGGCGATGAAGTCATGCAGAGAGCAGCAAACCAGCCAAATCACGTGCATACCTTTTTCATGATTTGATCATTTATTTCGTAACGGTGAGGCCACTGCTTCCTAGCCTCATCATCAGGAACTGCATCCCCCACAAAGAAACAGGAACCATCGTCCGTTTCCAACATCACTGAATCAACCATGTGCTTGTCCAAAACAAGTTCGTGCTTAGTGCTCAGTTCTGGTATTATTGGAACTCTTGGTGATTTGGACATTGAGCCATTATTTTCTGGTATCATTGGAACTCTTGGTGATTTGGACATTGAGCCATTATTATTATTGTTTTCTGCCCTCTTTAATTTTTCCAAGTATTTAACCGACAACGTCCTGGCCCTCTGTGTCTTTGGAGGTTGAGGGGATCTTCTTCCTCTCCCTTGAGGCGTCTTGCTGACCACTCGTGATTTTGCACTTTTCAACTTTGAGTTGCACAACACAATACCACCACCATCCACTCCATCCAGACTTGTCAAGCACTCTTCAACAGCAAGCTTATGCTTTTTAGTAGGTATACAAACATCTGATTTCTGCACAGGAGGTCCACCATTTACCACTGGTGATATAGCTGACACCCTGTCTGAATTCACCAATACCTTTGAGGCTAACCTAGTCTTCCTTCGAGGAAGAACAGAAGCTCCTTTGTCTTTCAACAAACTATTACTCGCTGCTGGTAAAGCCACCACAACCTGATTGTAGAGACCACCTGCTTTCTGATTATTGTCGTAAGAGGAACTTACGTTTTCCACGGCAACAATTTCTTGCAATCCTTGAACCTTCACCCCGTTAATCAAATCAACTGTGTTTACTGAAATTGGCCCTGTGAACGCAGGGAGTTTGCTCCCTTCACTGCTTCTACTCTTCCTTGAATCCGCAACTCGTCGCTTGGAAGCTCTAGATGAGTCTCCATTCTGATTCAAAGGCATGGAGCTCGCCGCTGACTTGATTTTCATGATCCTCCGTGATCTCCGCAGAGCTGTACCATTTGCACAAGTAGCATCCACCTCGGGATCCTTCGCATCCATGGTTGTTCCCCAAGCAACCGAAGGGGAAGAATCCTTGATAGGATCCTCAGCCCCCAAACCGACCTCATATGGGGAAGCAAGAGGTGGCGATGGCACGGAGTTGAGCGTACAATCGAGCATTCTCCCGTCTAAATTGGCTTCCGAGGAAGCGACAGACGGCGGTAGTGGAGACTCCATCGCCGGGGCGGAGTCGGCGACGGGGTCAAACCCCCGCGCATCAAAATCCACCGGAGGAGACGACGATGGCGGCGGGTCAGGCGAACAATCAACGCCGGAATCGAGCGCACTCACCTCAGGAACGTCGCCCAACGAAGCCGCCGCCGCCCCCGCCGGATACGAATCGATCGGCGCCGCGGGCTCGAACTCCGCGAACCCCGCGGCGGCCGTGGGGGGAACGAGCGCGGTGGCCGCGCCCTCGCCGGCGACGACCCCGGAGGACCTCCAGGGCGCGCCGTCCCATGGGCCCCCCGCGACGTCCATGATCTCGGGCTCCACCTCCGCCGCGGCGAACTCGGCCCCCACGCCGAACCCCCTCGGCGGGGACCACATGGGCTCCAGCTCCTCCGGGGAGCCGAACAGGGCCGTCCACAGCGAATCCAGCCCGGCGCTGAACCCCCCCGCGTCCTCCGCCCCGTCGTCGCCTCCCGGCGAGCCCTCGTCGGCGGCGGGCGGCGGAGGCGAGACGGGGTCGGGGGGCGGGGTCTCCATGGGAGGAGGAGCAAAGCACGGGGGCAATTCCTCCCCAACCACCACCACCACCAGCGAAAGGTAGTTGGAAGTCAATCGGCGTGTCCAGTGGCATTCACTTGCTGACTTCGCGTTCCACACGGGAGGGAGGGAGTCGCAGTTGCCACGAGTCGGGGGGGCTTTGCCCGAAAGAGAATTGTGGTTTTTCTTTTTTCTTTTTTCGATTCGAGGAGGAGAGCGGCGGATTTGAGAAACTGAAGCTTCCATTTCTGACAAATTCATGTTTGTTTTAGGGCCAATTTTTTTTTTCAGCTTGATCCCCGGGAGGGGAAATCTTTGGGGAAAAAATTTGAAATTATACTGTTTATCGATTGACCGGATAGCGAAGGATTTGCGGAAATAAACCATCGGTGGAAGAGCGATACCGATGTTCGCTCCTGAAAAGTGCAATAGCGTGGCGAAATCGCTATCTGAAAAAGCGATAGCGAAGTTGAGCTGGCGCTCTCGCGCCAACGAGACGCGAGACCATAGCGGTATCGCTTTTCCCTCACGTGACAGCGCCACGTGGAGAAATCCCCGCGACTACGTTGGGCGGAGCCATCGCTCTCGCACTTTCGTTGCGCGAGACCGAGGTCGGTATCGTAATATGAAATCGCGAGACCGATTATGACGCGACGGGAGAGACGTGGGCACGCGGTATCGCGCTTTGCGTGCGCGAGACTGGTGACGCGGCATGCGCGAGAGAGAGAAAGCCTGGGGGAGGGCAGTGGGACCGCGGCGTCACGCTTTGGGATTGCGAGACCGATCGCAGTGTCGCTATACGCGTGCGCGAGAGCGAGGAGCGCAATGGGGCAGCGTTGTCGCGCTTTGCACGCGCGAGACCGTAGGCGGTCTCGCTCTACGCGTGCGCGAGAGCGAGGGTATCGAGAGAGCGGCAATGGGTTCAGTCTCGCGGTGTCTCGCGGTCCGCATGCGCGAGACCGTCCTCGGTATCGCGCTCCACATGTGCGAGAGCGACGGCGCTTTCCGCATCCGACGCCACCGACACCTTTATTTCCCATCTCTATTTCTTTTTGCTTTTTGCACGGGTTCTAGCCATCTACCTTAGCTTTTTAGGGAGGGGTGGAAGAGCTCTGTGCACTCTCTTATCAGTTTACTGTTGTAGTCACATCATGCCGGCCATTTGTAACCGCTGTAGCGTTCGAATCCAATGCGCTCACGGGTTAAATTGAGAGGAGAGGAGATGGTCCTCACAGAGGAAGATAGAAGGGACTGAACTAAGGAGGAGAGGAAGAGCAAGAGATGCAGGCAGTGGAGAGAAGGAAAAAAAGACACGTAAGTTGATTAGTTTTCTATTAGCACAAATTCGTATGAGGATTTAGAAAATATTAGTTCACGTAGTTAATATTTGTTTTTAATTATGTCATAGAAAAATTTAGGTATGTATTAGTTACTACTACATTATGGGTGTGTTTGAGGAGAAAGAGATTGGGGAGATTGGGAAGATACGCAAAACAAGGTGAGTCATTAGCGCATGATTAATTGAGTATTAACTATTTTAAATTTCAAAAATGGATTAATATGATTTTTTAAAGCAACTTCCCTATAGAAAATATTTGTAAAAAACGCACCGTTTAGTAGTTTGGGAAGCGTGCGCGCGAAAAACGAGGTGCTTTCTCATCCTATCTTACACAATCGAACGCAACCTATATTTTGTTAGGTTGCATATAAAAATAGAAATGTAGAAGTTGATAGAGTCGATTCGGGTTAAAAAATAGGTAGACATAATTAATTTATAAGGTACAAAAGTATAATATAAGTTACAATTAATTTGTACCTAGTAGTAATTATAAGTTATAATTAATTAGTAGTTCATGTGATGTTTAATTTTATATATACGGCCAATATTATATGTAACAAATGAAAAAAAAACTGAAATATTAATAGTTATATTTGTAGTTATTGATATTGATATTAATAGTATTGATAATTATTAAATATGGTACAAAAATTAAATTAAAGTTGTAATTAATTCGTAGTAATTTTAAGTTACAATTACTTAGTAGTTCATGCAGTTATTTATTTCGTAAGAAATGGAAAAGGTATAAATATTCGTTAAGTAGCGGGAAATATATGGTGTGCTTAAACATATGCTTATATAGCATATTGTAGGTAGTTACGAACGAACAAAGAAATGCGCGGTACTACGAAGAACTTTGAAATTGGAACTTTTATATGAGCAAATTGGTTGAAAAGAAGAAGGCAAGACAAGGTATGGTACTATAATGGAAGATGTAGTAAATTTTTTAATAGACAGTTTGTATTTTATTTGGTATTGTAATTAAAGTCCAGTTATATAAATTTATGTCGCTGCAACTAGTTTTATACTATAATAAATTGGTAGTTATGATTAATTTGATTGATTATGTAATTAATCAAGTGAAGTTGAACTTAGTTCTATTAATTTATCATGTTATGATTAATTTATAGATAATTTTGTACTAACTGATAGTTACAAATATTTTGTATTTAAGTAAAGTTACGGTCCGTTAGATAATTTATAGTTAAAGTTGTAATATATTAAAAGTACTAATCCAAAATTGCAATAGTAGTATTGTTTCAGAGGTCATATCTAAGTAGGTACAAACAATCCGTAGCAAAGAATATGATGCGGCTCAATGAGTGTCATTGTCCTAGATAAAGAATAGAAAGAGCTAACCAAAATGATTTTTAACTTAGCTTCCGTCAATGTTTCTTCGGTGCACGTAGTCATTTGTTGTATTAAAATTAATTGATATGTATAATTAATTTGTTAGTTAAACATATGGATTATGCAGTGAAATAAACTTTGAGGCAGCAATTGTTATACGAGCAAGCTGGTTAAAAAGGAGTAGGCGGGTTCTGATAAACGCAGGTAAATATTTTGTCATCATATTTATGTACGATATGCTATGGTTGTGTTGTTTTAAGTATTACATACTCTTTTACTTAAATTAATTGCCATAGTTATGTTTAATTACGTGTTTTAATCAATTAATTTGTATTAAATTTATTGTCATGTGTCTATTTTTTATGTCAAAGTTGTAGTAAAATTATAAATAATGAATTGCATTGTCATGTATTCGTAAGTAAATAATTTATGTTTACGTAATTATTTATTTATAATTTTCTTATTACAAGTACATGAATTTTTTATAAATAATTAGTTATTGATAAAGATTTTTTTATCAAAAAAAGTATGCGTGTAAACTAATTTTAGTTGTGAATAGGACACGTTTGTTCTGTAAATCTTCCTTACGGAGTAGTCTGTGTTGTCTGCAATGGCAGGAATGTCGGCATTTAGAGTGTATTTCGGTGAAGGTGAAATTATGGAAAATGAAAGTGTTAACGTGATCTGAGCAACTTTAGGCAATGCACACTATACCATCCAAATCCTGACACCCTTACCATGCCCGAAGTTTGGTACTGGTTAACATGCACATTTTCTTTAGATCTGGGTATATATAGTATTAACGTGAGGGTTATGTGGAGCCGATCGGCCAACAAAATAGGCCTGGCAGGATTGGCTCGCTGGCTATAGGAGACGGGGATATGAATATGTCATGCTGGTGCAAGCATGTCAAGGAAGAGTCCCCACGGAGAACGCAGCGGGGCAATCCAGCAACCGTGAGGAGTTGGGGTCTAGTTCACACGAAGAAGATGAAGTTGTAGCTCCCCATCGTGGTGGCGATGTTGGTCTTGACATTCAAAATCTATCCATACAAGGAGATGAAGTGGTCAACCGCCATCCTATTGGTGAAACCGATGAAGGGGAGGACATACCTGCTATAGCTGAAGAAATTGAGAGGGTGGACCGACATGCAGTCGAAGATGAGGAAAACCTCGCTGCTGAAGAGAATGATGACGAAGATGAACAAGAAGTTGAGGAACTACCTATGCCTGCTTCGTGGAACCTTGAAGACCCTGGTTATATTGCAGAAAACTCTTGTCATGATTCAATATGGTTCTACGGGGATGGCCAAATCAATCTAGGTGCAATGTTCCGTGACAAAACTGGGTTGCAAGACGCAGTGAAGTCATGGTCATTCCAGATGCAAAGGCAGTTCAGGGTTGTGAAGTCTAACAGGACTGAGTACACGATCGTCTGTGAGACGGAAGGTTGCACCTTCCGTCTTCATAGTCACGTGCCAAAGTACGAGTGTTATTGGATTGTGTCCAAACTGCAGGAACACTCCTGTCTGATTCGGAACACTAGGGAGTCGCACCGCAACCTGACCGCGGCATACGTCGCGAACAAGTACTACGAGGAAATTATTGAAGGTGATGACACTGCCTGTGCGGCACATAATAAAACTGGTGGAGAAAGGTGAACAATACACAATTAGTTACCACAAGGCTTGGAGGGCGAAGCAGAAAGCCATGGAGAAAATATATGGGACATTTGAGGAAGCATATGACACACTGCCACATATGCTTAACATTCTAAAGAGAAGGAACCCTGGGACCTATGTTGCGGTGCAGGATCGGGAGTCAATTTATCCTCCAAATTATCTTGTGATGCAACGGGCATTCTTTGCATTCGGAGCATGCATTCATGCGTTCCAGTGCTCGAGGCCGGTGCTGTGTGTCGACAGTACTTTCCTAACTGGGAAGTACCGAGGCCAGATATTAACAGCCGTTGGTGCAGATGCGAACAACCAGATAATTCCAGTAGCTTTTGCTTTTGTTGAAAGCGAGAACTACGAAAGCTGGTTGTGGTTCTTGCAACATTTAAAGTGGGGAGTGGTGCAAAAACGCACATCGATATGCATCATCCATGACGGGAATGCCGGTCTGTTGAAGGCAATCAAAGAGCTCCAGGAGGATGGTGATGGTGCATACTACTGGCCTGACATGCACAGCCGTTGGTGCATGCAGCACATGGGAGACAATTTTTTCAAACAATTCAACAGCCCGCGGCTGATGAACATGTTCAAGCGGTTGTACAAGGAAAATCAGTCTACAAAGTTCGATGAGCTTTGGAAACAACTTGACGAGGGGACAAGGACACATATTCGGTCAAAGCAGACCAATAACAACCCGCAGGATGTACGTCCCCCAGGCCCTGG